CAAAAGATGACGTGGGACTAAGTTGAGAATAGAAGTACAAGTAAACAGTTAATAGTGTACATTTCTTTTCATGATGAAAGGTTTAATATTCCAACGAATTTCGTACCTTAGAATCGTTAAACAGCTAATGCAGAGAAGGATGGGTCGACTAAATGATGTCTTAAGCTGTCGCATTCGACTACCGTATTAATTAATTATGTTGAAGATCTGGGGCACTGAGGCTTAAACGACTGAATCCGAGTATCATTCGATAGCTGGTCATTGGGTCCATCGAAAAACTACATGAAACGAACGTTGGATTGGAAAAGAGGTTGGGCTGACCCATGATAAAGGATCAGATGGCCGTCCTTCGATCGATGAAATGGAAAAGAGCATATTGAGTTACGAGTGATATGAAGCAGAGACGAAAACCATTCAGCGAACAAGGGATTGGGGTTTACTGTTTATAACAGCCTAAACTATTCTTGTAAATGATTTTCAAGCTGTTGTTTATCATCAGGATATGATATTCTTCTTCTTGCAGTTAGAACAAGTGCCAGATCCAATTTCGAGAGCCAGCCGTTCAGCGGAGCCGGTCTCAAGCGTACGTGCGTCTGCAACTCTCCCCTATCGAACTACTTCGCTTCGCAGAAGTTAATCCTATACTGTCGACAAATGGTCACCAGCATTAGGCAACAACTACAAAAAGAATTTCCCTCATAAACTCACCGTTGGTCTCAACTCCATGAAAGGAAAAAAGCGACCAAGGGAAACATCGCGCTTCAAGACTAAGTATGGAATAGTGAATAATACTGGTCATGAATACCTGGCATGACCATCAAGTTCAGTGGCATATAAACCTCAGCGTGGCTTTCAAGGCTAATCTGTTTAGAGGGAAGATTTTCTCATTTGAAACCTAGCTACGAAATGGGGGAACACTGATGACAGTAATAGTGAAGAAAAGACGATGCAATCTAATTATCATGCCATTTAAGATCTGAGCCGAGGAAAACGATTGGTTTACTAAGCACCATATGGAACATACGGGTTCAGAAACTGAAAGAACGCATCATCCGGCAACTTTGGAATCTGAGACGGGTATGATGCAAACATATGACGGAACTTTGCATCTAATTCAGACATTTATCGGGATAGAGTAAATGATATTTATTAACGATGATTATTATCATGTAGTTATGAAGGCAGCATTTTTTATGCTGTAACCTTATAGGTTTGAAAACGGCACGAAAATCAACTAATACATGAATTATGACCTGAAATGCTGATAGCGAGAAATTCATGCTGCCACGGGTTGATCTTCCGTCGTGTGTCCACCGCGTCTTGTGCGAAGACAATCGTCCACAAGTAACGAGTAACAAGTTCGATAGCTGCTCTCCATCAATACTGATACCGCTTCACCGGTTCAGCCGGTTGAACAGCGACACTAAGGCCACGGCAAAGAACGCTGGTATCTCCTTAGCGCCCTACTCGGTGGATACTCAGGTGAAACGGTTCGTTGAACAGCCTTATGTCAGTCGGGCAGAGCGGTCTTCAATTCTTCGATCAGGCTGAGGAAAACAGGGCTTACGCCCGGCTCACGCAAGGCTCGCTGTTAACACAGCTTTAATTCTATTGAATCTAGCTCTTTCCTGTGGCCGATGAAAGCAAAACAACGGGGCGCTTGATATTCGTCGCTCTGATATTCACCAGCTGCTGGATGACGTGCATACGGTCGATAGTAAAATTCCATAATGAAACCCATCATGGGATTTCCTGCCCCGGTTGTTCTTTTTGGCTGGTTGCATCGAATCATGGTGGAGCGAGAATTTTCATCAAAGCATTGTGAGTTTCGACATAATTTGTCTTCTTTTGAGATTCAAATCCCACACCTCCAGTGTGCAAAGCTGACCTTTTTCCATTATCATATGTAGTGCTAATTAAACGTTAAAAATAAGTGCATTCTTGAAAACCATTCTTAGCAACAGCCTTATGTTGCTACCTCCCGATCCAAAAGGATTGAGATTGATCGCCTGGCTGACTAACCAGCTGATTGAATGACTGATTAATTGATTGATGCCTGAACATCAATTTGTAAATACAATTTTATCTCTTTCCGAACCATGCTATTACCTACATTTACCGTTCCTCCTCTTAATCGAACTGGTTTTGTTGCAATACGGCGTTTTAATGTAAGAGGCAAGGGAAGAAACAGGTGTATGACTAGCAAGTGAGGGTTCGCTGTTATTACAAACGAGCGAACAGCCGGACGGTTGGCAGCTGCGGGGGAGGAAAAGCACATGTGGTGCTTTTGGTGTAACCAGTTGGCTTTACAGACATTTCTTAATCTTCTGCTCGATTCGTGTGCATGCAAAGTTAAGCGTGCCTAAAGTGATACGGTGTGACTCTTAAAGGAACCGGGTTCGATCCGCCAGCTCCACCTCAATCGATCACGTGGGTGGGAATGGTGGTGGC